ACTAACGAACCGGTTAATCGCTGGGAAACCCTCAGGTTCCTCAGGTTTCTCCCCTCAGGTTTTTGCAATTTTTTGTTAAATAATGAAATGACTACTTTCTTTTTAAATGGCGCCATCTAATGGTCGCTGTCCACACATGTAGTGCTGAAAAGCCCAAATGAGCTGCTTCCTTTTGCTTTTTTTATTTAAGTTATTTATTAGAAATGACAATAGCTGGTAGGAAACTAAAGCTCTGTCAGGTTTTCAATCATTTCTTTTTTCTTTTTCTGAAAACTTCTGCTAGAAAATGAACCATGGTGGTTTTTGTTTTTATTAATGAATAAAAGAAAACAAGTAAAGATTCTTGATTAATGATGTAACTTTGTTTAGTGCTTCCTGTTTGTGGAAAGTTGAGGTGAAAATCATTTCTGAGGGACTTTGATTGCTTGTCCAGTCAGAATGCTCCAGATGTCAGAAGATCCTCCAAGCTGAGTGAAGGTCCTTCCTCTTCTCTTCCTCCATCATAGCCGCCATCGCTGCCCTCTGCCCAGTAGATCCACTCTGCCCAGTAGATCCACTCTGCCCAGTAGATCCACTCTGCTCACCAGTAGATCCACTCTGCCCAGTAGATCCACTCTGCCCAGTAGATCCACTCTGCTCACCAGTAGATCCACTCTGCCCAGTAGATCCACTCTGCCCAGTAGATCCACTCTGCCCTCCAGACTCTTGTCATTGGTGCCTTGTGAAATTATTTATCTATTATTTATTGCTCTTTATCTCAGTGGATCCTAAATGTTCATGTGGTCCCATCTGATCGGTCCTACTGGTTTAAATGGTTCTGATGGTGTCACAGTCGTGTTCTTGTATCTCGGACCTCGTGTCTGAGGAGAACAAAGTGCTTCCTGTCAGCTTCTACTCATCCTGACGGCTCAGCCCAGCAGGACTTGGTGGTGGTTCCATCTTTAAAGTCCTTCCATGGTCAACATCCTCCGTCCATCATTCAGACCAGATAGAAGCTCCTCCCACGGCCCCTGGTCCGCTGCTCCAGCCTTGTTTCCCTCATTATCTCTCTGCTTGTTATTTTCTGTGCATTTGTTTCAGCCAAGCGTTGATCAGCCTGTCACTCAGAAACTGGGCGTTCTGGAGTTTTCCCAGTTCCAGACCAGTGAGTTCATTCCAACAGCTTCTATCCCTCAGAGAGCAGGAGCTTTTCCAGGAGGGACAGAACTTTGCTGGGCTAACCCTGCAGCCTCTTCCTCTCTGGAAACACTGCAGGTTTTCCTGCAGATCAATGTTAGGTTCATTTTATTCCCATAATCCTGAGAAAATGTTTAACAGATGAGTCATGATGAACGGAAGGTCACATAGATGAGCTTCCACTGCGCCAGTAAGACTAGAGCTCCACCTAGTGGCTGATTGGTCTTCCATCACATCTCCTCCTGACCAGCCAAAGGTCTCCCCCCGATGGAGGTGTTGGAGGTTCTGTCATTTTTACCAGGTTCAGTTCAATGGAACACCCAGAGTCTCTGCAGGTCTGCTTAGATGAACATGTTTTCACGTCCCTGGAGGATTTTCCACGCCATGGTTCCCCCCTGTGGACGAAAGCTGTAATGTTTTGCTTGAAGGGGGACAGAGCTGCAGTTGGATTGAACCACATTGGCTGTGGAAGATGAAGATTGATCGATGAGCTCATCAGTCTAACAGTCATGAAAAAATGTCCCATGATGATGATGTGGAAAATAAGAAGCAGTTTTCCTTTATATGAAGGTTGAAGAGTTCCTAGGCGTAGGTTGAAGGTCCCACCAGTAGCTCCCACTCTGACAGGGTTCCATGCTCTGGTCCACAGGCTGGAGAGAAGCACTACCATCCTTCCTGCGCGCGCTGCGCCCGCTGCGAGCAGATGTTTGGAGAAGGAGAAGAAATGTATCTGCAGGGTGAGTCTGAGCAGCTTCACTGTTTCTTTGCTTTAAACCCCCGCCCCCCCAAACCTCCCCCCCAGGAGCGCTAAACACGGTCAAAGATTCAACGAAGGACGTCTCAAATTCAGCAATGATCCCATCAGAACCGACTGAGAGTCCAGGAGTAACTCTGCCTCTGTTTGTGTACACAGGATCGTCGATCTGGCATCCGCCGTGCAGACAGGCAGCCAAGCAGGAGGAGAAGACCAAGGTGGGTATAGACCTCCTCACCTAGATGCTGGAGCTCTGGGCTGATATATTCTCCCAACATCACAGGTTTTAGTTGAGCAACATTTTCTGTTTTGAAAAGTCGATAAATGATATGAGAAAAATGTTAGATATTCACAAACTAGAGCTGCAGACATGACGATGATGCACACCATTACAGACAGAAACCAACCGTCTAGATCTGCCCGCTAATGTTTGATGGAGACTGCTATCTGCTTTTCCAGCTCAGATGTTCACTTCAAAAATGAAAAACAGAGAACAAGCATTTCAGCGGCGGCTAGCTCAGGCGGTTAGTCACCCGTCCTCCAAACAGGAAGTCTGGGTTCGTATCTCAGCTGCCTGGGGGGGTCCTTAGGCAAGACCCTTCACGCTGATGCTGCTTTGGCGAGTGGCAGCCTAGTGGTTATCCAGAGTTCGAGCCTCACTCCCACAGACCTCCACTCTGGGTCCCTGAGCCAGACCCTTAACCCCACCCTGCTCCCCTGGCGCCGCACAATGGCCGCCCACTGCTTCACAAGGGGAGGGGTTAAATGCAGAGAGGGAATGTTGCTCTGTTCTTGTGACAGTAGAATGTAAATAAAAGCTGGAAAGAAAAAGAAAAGGAAACATTCTAATCAGATAGATGTAGTGTTATGCTGCGTTCACACCAAAGGCGTTCTGGGCATCAGAAACATGCAGTTGCTTTGATGCTTCAATACACTCTATGTTCGTCTCATCACGTTCGGCGCTCTGGATGGATGCTCGGCTCTGAATGCTCGGCTCTGAATGCTCGGCTCTGAATGCTCGGCTCTGAATGCTCGGCTCTGGATGCTCGGCTCTGAATGCTCGGCTCTGAATGCTCGGCTCTGAATGTTCGGCTCTGGATGCTCGGCTCTGAATGTTCCGCTCTGGATGCTCAGCTCTGAATGTTCGGCTCTGAATGCTTGGCTCTGAATGCTCAGCTCTGAATGTTCGACTCTGGATGCTAGGCTTTGGATGTCTTTATTGCTCACCTCTAAATGCTTGGCTCTGGATGCTCAGCTCTGGATGCTTGGCTCTGGATGCCCTGAATGCTCAACTCCGAATGCTCGGCTCTGGATGCTCGGCTCTGGATGCTCGGCTCTGGATGCTCGGCTCTGAATGCTCGGCTCTGAATGCTCGGCTCTGGATGCTTGGCTCTGGATGCTCGGCTCTGAATGCTCAGCTCTGGATGCTCTGCTCTGAATGCTCGGCTCTGGATGCTCAGCTCTGAATGCTCAGCTCTGGATGCTCTGCTCTGAATGCTCGGCTCTGAATGCTCAGCTCTGGATGCTCAGCTCTGGATGCTCGGTTCTGGATGCTGTGCTCTGGATGATCAGCTCTGAATGCTCAGCTCTGGATGTTCGGCTCTGAATGCTCGGCTCTGGATGCTCAGCTCTGGATGCTCGGTTCTGAATGCTGTGCTCTGGATGCTCAGCTCTGAATGCTCAGCTCTGGATGCTCTGCTCTGAATGCTCGGCTCTGAATGCTCAGCTTTGGATGCTCTACTCTGAATGCTCAGCTCTGGATGCTCGGTTCTGGATGCTGTGCTCTGGATG